GCAGCCAGGTCGAGAAAAGCCTGACCAACATGGCGAAACCCCATCTCTACTAAAATACAGAAATACGGGCATGGTGGCAGGCACCTGTAGTCCCAGCTACTGGGGAGGCTGAGGCAGGAAAATTGCTTGAACCCAGGAGGCAGAGGTTGCAGTGAGCTGAGATTGCGCCACTGCACTCCAGCCTGGGCAAAGAGCGAGACTCCATCTCAAAAAATAATAAATGAGTAAAAGAAACAGTTGGCTGCTAGCTAAAGGTAAATTCTGGAAACATAGCTCTAGGGTTATTAGGGTTGTAATCCAGATGTTAAGTCTCCTGAAAGAGTAAGTAATTAAAGGGGAATTGAAATAGAGAAGTGTAGATGCTGAGCTCTGTAAAGATACAGGCAGCATGGTAGGGGAGCTTACCCTCTTTGATTTTCTAGTTAAATCCTTTTGAAAAGATGGGAAAATGTAAACCAGAGTAAAATCTTTAGTTCCCAGATTTTGCAAATGCATCTCAACAAAATAGCCAAATTGGAGCACATGTCTGATTTCTACTTCCTATCAGATCTGGTACCAAAGGAGAATTTGGAGAGCTGGCTAAATTATTTGAAGAAAGAATTGCCAACAGTAGTGTTCAGAGCCTCAACAAAACTGAAGGATAAAGGGAAGATAACCAAGGTACCTTTTATTAGTAGTAAGAAATGCGGTTCTTTCAGACTGAGTGGTTGAAAAATGATGAGTATACAAAATCTTGATTTAAATAAGTGAAAAATTACAAGATCCAACTCTGATTTCAGCCAGAGATCATCTGAAAGGCAATGTAGTTACTTTAAGAGCTGGGCTCTGGAGCCTGATTGCTTGGGGTGTGTTGAAATAATTTATCAGGTAAGTTATCGGAATAATTAAACTAATTATTTTGAATTTTAGCGTGTGAAGGCAAAGAAGACTGCTGCTCCATTCAGAAGTGAAGTCTGCTTTGGGAAAGAGGGCCTTTGGAAACTTCTTGGAGATTTTCAGGAGACTTGTGGCAAACCCATTCAGGTTGGAGTAATTGGTGAGTTTCAGGTCATCACTTTTTGCTTTCTAAGTGTTGAGATACTTAAGAATTTTTCCCTGTTAAAGCAGCAGTGTATGGAGTTGTTAAGTAAAAGTCTCGCTCACATACCAGCTTCTTGCCTATACCTTACTGAAAACACATAACCAAACACAATTTAAAGAACAAAACTTAAACAACTGCTGCCAGATTCAGGTTTTTTGTTGGGACTGATCACTATAGGAAATTAAGTTTCTAAAAGCTCTGGGTTTATTTGAATTGATAGTATTTTCCTGCCTTTTCATTACTTATACAAGAAATGAAGAAACTAAAATTGGTTATAGTATTGAAGATGCTGATATCCAACTCTGATCTCACCCTAAACTTTAGGGAATTGGAAAATTAAGCAGTGAAAATTTCATAAATGCCAATATATAATGCTTTTTATATCTGGATTTCCCATTTATTTGTAGGTTTCCCAAATGTGGGGAAAAGCAGCCTTATCAATAGCTTAAAACAAGAACAGATGTGTAATGTTGGCGTATCTATGGGGCTTACAAGGTAAACTGAGCTATCCATAATTGTAATATTTTATTATAATGACATACTGTTTTATTTTGGTTATCTCAAGGAAGGTGATGTGTTTCGAGCTGGAGTCTCGCTGTGTCACCCACGCTGGAGTGCAGTGGCACGATGGCTCACTGCAACCTCTGCCTCCCAAGTAGCTGGGATTACAGGCACGTGCCACCACATTTGGCTAATTTTTTTCTATTTTTAGTAGATGGGGTTTCACTGTATTGGCCAGGCTGGTTTCGAACTCCTGACCTTGTGATCTGCCTGCCTTGGCCTTCCAGAGTGCTGGGGTTACAGGCATGAGCCACTATTCCCGGCGTTTTTTTTTTCTTTTTTAAAGCTTTTGGTGAAAGAAGAGATTTAAGCCAGTGCTAGGCTTGGGGAAAAATTGGAGTGGACGGCTGCCCGTGATTTAGTCTGAAAGACAAATGAAGCAAATAGATGGAGAGAGAGGAAAGCTGCCTCAGAGAAAGTGATGTTTGAACCTGGCCTTGAGAAATTAATAGAAATTTGCCAGATAGAAGGCTGCCACTGCACCTTCACTATATTGGCCAGGCTAGTCTCAAACTCCTGGCCATTAGTGATCCTCCTGCTTAGGCCTCCCAAAGTGTTGGGATTACACTTGTGTTGGGTAGCATAAGCCACTGTGCCTGGCCAACTTTTAGATTTTTTTTTTTCTTTTTTTTTTTTTTTCTGAGATGGGGCCTCTCTCTGTTGCCCAGGCTGGAGTGCAGCAGTGCTATCTCGGTTCACTGTAACCTCTACCCCAGCCTTCCAAGTAGCTGGATTATAGGCACCTGCCACCATGCCCGGCGAATTTTTGTATTTTTAGTAGAAACAGGGATTCACCATCTTAGCCAGGTGGGTCTTGAACTCCTGACCTTGTGATCTGCCCACCTTGGCCTCCCATAATGCTGGGATTACAGGCGTGAGCCACTGCACCGGGCCAGAAGGTGTCATATTTATAACAAAAGAAACAGCATGTGTTTAGGTTGATGTAACTATATAAGCTATTATAACATGCAGTGTTTCTCTTTAGAATGGTCAGGTGTGCTGTTACAGTTTTAAATAAATGTGAAGCAAATGATGATAAACTGGATCTGACTGACTGTGCTGAGTCTGTTCAATCCAACCCTGAGCTTCATGTTCTGTCTCTTGCCCTCCAAATAAACCAGTGCCCCCATCAATTCCATCTCTCTTCTTTCAGAAGCATGCAGGTTGTCCCCTTGGACAAACAGATCACTATCATAGATAGTCCAAGCTTCATCGTATCCCCTCTTAACTCCTCCTCTGCACTTGCTCTGCGAAGTCCAGCAAGTATTATAGTAGTAAAACCAGTGGAGGCTGCCAGTGCCATCCTTTCCCAGGCTGATGCTCGACAGGTAAATGGATCCCTTCTCATGAGCTCCTTGGAGCCATTTTCTTCCATCATAAGCATTTTGAGTAGAAAAACTTTGAAGTTTTTTAAAGTACTGGCATGATGTCAGATGGACTTTTTTTTCTTAAGGTAGTATTGAAATATACCATCCCAGGCTACAGAAATTCTCTGGAATTCTTTACTATGCTTGCTCAGAGAAGAGGTATGCATCAAAAAGGTGGAATCCCAAACGTTGAAGGTGCCGCCAAGCTGCTGTGGTCTGAGTGGACAGGGTAAGCTTTCTCTTCTGTTGTAATTTTGGTGACTTCTGGAATAAACCTCCTTTTGACACATCTTATTTTTAATATCAGTGCCTCATTAGCTTACTATTGCCATCCTCCTACATCTTGGACTCCTCCTCCATATTTTAATGAGAGTATTATGGTACACATGAAAAGTGGCTTCAATCTGGAAGAACTGGAAAAGAACAATGCACAGAGCATAAAAGGTGAGAATTGTGTCACTGCTGTCTTCATCAGCTGATAGGCCAATAAAGAAAGGTCTTGGCCGGGCGCGGTGGCTCAAGCCTATAATCCCAGCACTTTGGGAGGCCGAGGCGGGTGGATCACTAGGTCAAGAGATCGAGACCATCCTGGTCAACATGGTGAAACCCCGCCTCTACTAAAAATACAAAACATTAGCTGGGCGTGGTGGCGCGTGCCTGTAATCCCAGCTACTCAGGAGGCTGAGGCAGGAGAATTGCCTGAACCCAGGAGGCGGAGGTTGCGGTGAGCCGAGATCACGCCATTGCACTCCAGCCTGGGTAACCAAAGTGAAACTCCGTCTCAAAAAAAAAAAAAAAAGAAAAAAAGAAAGGTCTTAACTGTTTACATGGATTTTGTTTCTTTCCCAGCCATCAAGGGCCCTCATTTGGCCAATAGCATCCTTTTCCAGTCTTCTGGTCTAACAAATGGAGTAATAGAAGAAAAGGACATACATGAAGAATTGCCAAAATGGAAAGAGGAGAAGAAGGATGACAAAGACCATGACCAGGAAATTGTTGAAGTCGATGTAAGTCTATCCTCCATAAGTTGTTTAAAACTTAAGTTTTGTAGCATTATAACACATAATGTGAAGGAGCTGAAGGTAGGAAATATTTGAGGCTTGTGATCTGTTAGCCTTAATATTGCACATCCTGTCATAGGTACCTCCATTGACTTAATTTTTTCAGGTACATAATTATTTAGATTAAATGAGCAAACAAGGGCTACTAATCCAGCACCATTTTTCTTTGTCACACAGGAAAAGAACTCAGACATGTTCGCTGCAGAAGAGACAGGGGAGGTACTGCCTGAAGAGTCTACAGCAGGTAAGGCAGGCAGAGGAGTTCTTCTAACAAAGCAGCATAATGTAGAATCCCTTTTACTTTTTGAAAATAAAATCTTTTTATTTTCCTGCAATATAGGTGGACAGTCTACAAGGCATTTTATCTTGGATAAAATGATTGAAGAGGATGATGCTTATGACTTCAGTACAGATTATGTGTAACAGAACCGTGTCTTTTTTTTTTTTTTTTTTTTTTTGAGATGGAGTTTCACTTTGGAGTGCAATGGCACAATCTCAGCTCACCGTAACCTCCGCTTCCCAGGTTCAAGTGATTCTCCTGCCACAGCCTCCTGAGTAGCTGGGATTACAGGCATGTGCCACCACGCCAGGCTAATTTTGTATTTTTAATAGGGATGGGATTTATCCATGTTGGTCAGGCTGGTTTTAAACTCCCAACCTCAGGTGATCCACCTGCCTCAGCCTCCCAAAGTGCTGGGATTACAAGTGTGAGCCACCACGCCTGGCCCAGAACCATTTCTCTTTATAAGAAGCTTTTTTTAAAACATTCTAAGGAGACTGCTAAACTGTCCTGTGTATAATGTGTTGTGGCATAGATGAGCTGTGTAAATTTTGTGAATATGTATTAAATTGGAATCCCTAAATTTTGTAAAAAGACAATTCTTATTGTGAGTGGAAGTAGTTACCCAGAAATAAAAAAAAAAAAGATACTTATTGAAAAATGTGAGTTTTATTTACATATCAGGCCACAGGTTACACAATTGAAACCAACAGCAGTTTTGAATTATCTGTACCAGCTAGCTGAACTAGCCATATCAGTTTTTTTTCCAGTCATTCAGCATTATAGTAAGAAAACACTTGGTAAGGCAGATGGAGACATATTTATAGTCTATCTGGGAAGCTGACTGCCAGACAGGGCAGTTTGTCATCTTTACCCAGCTGAAACATCTTTTTCCATGGGTTGCTACAGATTGGCATTGAAGCCTAGCAACTGTTACTTCCCACACATGCCATCTTCCAGGATTTCCTGAGAAATGCTTATAGTTTAAATTCTGTTTCACTTTATGTTTGAGATCTCAGTATATCTTCGGATTAGGTTGAATTTGCCTGTTGGGTCTGGAATATACCATTTTTCCCAGACATCAGCATATGAAGCAGTCCTTCCCCATGGCTTAAAATGTCCATTCCAATGGAGTAACTTGGCAGCCTTTACAAACTGAGGTGAATATCGTTTTCCAGCACTGGAACCTTACATTTGAGACAAAAAACGCCAAAAGGTTGTGCCATGTGAAATTGTACAGAAAAGTTAAGGGAAACAATATATCCCATCCCTCAGGATAGTTCTTTAGATATCAATTAGTTACTAGCTTAAGCCACTGGTTAATTCTACTTACCAAGGTGGCGGACGTTCCACATAGGATCAATGGTAGAGTGCTGTTGGTAAAATACAATAAGCAGAGGAGGTGTTGTGATACTGCCAGCCAGGGTTCTGCTGTACAATCCCTCTCTTGGTGGGACAGAAAACAAATGTTAGTGAAGAGTTCTAACTAACTCCTGTTAGTCAAGACTCCCAGAATTGAAATACAACGGTTTTTCACAGTGAGACCAATTACATACTTACTCTACATTGAGTTTCATCCATTTTTCCAGTTGGTTAGTTATATTCTGTCGTTTCCATTCCGTCAGGTTTGCAACAAAAACTCCAGGATTAAATGAGCAGGTGCTGGCTTTCATGGAAAGCTTACGAATTCTTTCCTTTTTATAGTCAAGATAGCCAATGTAATTGTACTAAAAACACAAATAGGATATATGTATTTACTGCTTCAAACAGAAAAGAGAAAATTTTGGAGCCAGTAGAGAGAAGAACTGTTAATAACTTTTCAGATTAGAAAATAGATACTTGAGGCCGGGCGCGGTGGCTCAAGCCTGTAATCCCAGCACTTTGGGAGGCCAAGGTGGGTGGATCACGAAGTCGAGAGATCGAGACCATCCTGGTCAACATGGTGAAACCCCGTCTCTACTAAAAATACAAAAAATTAGCTGGGCATGGTGGCACGTGCCTGTAATCCCAGCTACTCAGGAGGCTGAGGCAGGAGAATTCCCTGAACCCAGGAGGTGGAGGTTGTGGTGAGCCAAGATCGCACCATTGCACTCCAGCCTGGGTAACGAGCAAAACTCTGTCTCAAAAAAAAAAAAAAAATAGATACTTGAAATTCTAAGTTAGAATAGGAACCTAGATGTTGACATACTAAACCAGATGTTCAAGAACAATTAGGCTGTCATGTCCATGAACAAGTATACAGAAAAGGAGCCTTGAGTTGGGATGAAATGATTAGGGAATGTAAACTGCAGCAAAAGAGTTCCCTGAATTTGCAACCTCTTCCCATTAAATGATAATGTAGGAAGAGTGGGTGTCTGGTAAACAATTTACCTGGTTTCCTGCTCCACGGATGATAACTTTAGTAGAGGCTGAATCACAGTCTTCTGAAAATGCAGCTGCATGTCCTGGCTTCAGCGGTGTATTGTAAAGGGTAAGAATATCACCTGAAATAGACAAGATGTTAAGATTTACATTTCAATTGCCTTGAGAGTTCCCTGTTACTCCCACTTCTCCCTATGTGACCTTTTATAGACTATAAATAAAACAACCACTACAGCCCACTGTAGTCCATTGTTTTATTTAGCAATTGTACTCAATCTGAATGGAGAACAGCACTCATGGTAACATTTTTGATACCTTGCACAATTACATCATCATCCATGTATATGGCCTTCTTTGCGCTGGGAACCAGAATTGGCAAGTAGAACCTTGCAAAGGTTAACTGAAAAAGGAAAGAATAATTGGTACAGGATACTGCAGTGGCTATGCTTTTATTTACATAGAAACTCCTAGGATGCTTTCAGTACCCATTCAGAAGAAAGGACTCTCAACAACCACTGAAGATTTGTCCCCAGGAAAACTGCTTGCACTATACCCCCAGTTATTTCCTATGCTACCAAGTACAAAGAAGGACACATGGAACTCACTGGTTTCATGGATTCTCCCTGGTCAGGATCCTCTTTTAGTTTCCCTTCCAAAAGTTTAGGGTCAAAATTCACAATTTTGTATCTGATGCTTTTCAGGGAATCACTGTTAAGCCAGGATCTGATGAAGATAAAGCATTAAATTTCAGTTTTTAAATAATGTCTCCAAACCAATGAGGATAATGCAAGAGAAACCCTACAGACCAAATAGATGTTTTCAAGTTCCTTTTATCTCTGAGCTTTGGTTTTCTCATCCGAACTGAGGGTAATTCCCACAAAAGTCTCTCCCCAAACCAAGAGTATAGGGTAATTCTAACTCTAAAACGACTCTAGAAAAACACAATATAGAAGTAGGAACATCTCAGCTGGGTGTGGTGGCTCACACCTGTAATACCAGCACTTTGGGAGGCCGAGGTGGGCAGAGCATGAGGTCAGGAGTTCGAGACCAGCCTGACCAACATGGTGAAACCCCCATCTCTACTAAAAATACAAAAATCAGCTGAGTGGTGGAGCACACCTGTAATACCAGCTACTTAGGAGGCTGAGGCAGGAGAATTGCTTGAACCCTGGAGGTGGAAGTTGGAGTGAAACTCCAGCCTGGGCCACAAAGTGAGACTCTGTCTCAAAAAAAAAAAAAGAAAAAAAAAATTACCACCTGGACCATTCAACTCTTAACCCTCTAAATATACTGGTGAAGAATTACCACCTGGACCATTCAACTCTTAACCCTCTAAATATACTGGTGAAGAATTACCACCTGGACCATTCAACTCTTAACCCTCTAAATATACTGGTGAAGAAAAGGAGTCAAAGTGACAGCAGTGAAAGCTAATTACCCACAGAGTAATCTCTTATCTACAGGCTACTTTTTTTTTTTTTTTTTTTTTTTTGAGGCAGTCTCACTCTGTCGCTAGGTGCCAGGCTGGAGTGCAGTGGCACAATCTCAGCTCACTGCAGCCTCTGCCTCCCGGGTTCAAGCAATTCTCCTGCCTCAGCCTCCCGAGTAGCTGGGACTACAGGTGCACATCACCACGCTCAGCTAATTTTTGTATTTTTAGTAGAGACGGGGTTTCACCATGTTGGCCAGGATGGTCTTGATCTCTTGATCTGCCCGCTGTGGCCTCCCAAAGTACTGGGATTACAGGCCAGAGCCACCGCACCTGGCCCAGACTGACTTCTTAATTCACTGTGGTGACCCTTAGTAATTCTGCCATTCAAGTCTAAGGCACTACCTGTAAGAAAAAACTGCTAAAGGTGTACTGCACATTTTTTCTAGGTTAGTTTCAAATCAGCATTTTGTGGATACTTGGTGTTATTTCTGTAGTCTATTTTAGTACAGTTTTTGTTTGTATCAGATTTTATAACTTTAAAAACTATGAACCATGGAGAAAGCCACAAGGACCAACATATTTTAGAAATTTGATAACTGGTTAATCTATTAGACAAAATAAGTCTTGTCTTAGTTCACTTTCAAAATGGATTGAACTGTCCAAATTTCCCCAGATCACTCTGGGCCAGGATTTGGATCAGGATCTGTGATCAGCTTCACAATACTACCTTGCCGTTGTTGCTAAGTCCCTTCCCACTCTAGACCAGAACTCCTCAGAGCATGTCCATAAAGTAAGGAACTTGTGACTTGTAAATCAACATTTACTGCTTCCTTCAGTGAGAAAGTATTGCTACGAAAACAACATCAGGTGGAGTTAACATTGTATAGTGACAGCTGACTTCCTGTCATGAGCTCCTTGTATCACTTCTGCTATTATGTGGATATGCTCATGATACAATCCTAAAAAAATATTTCATTTGTACAGTTTATCGGCAGTACAATCTCAATTATATAAAACAACATATAAAACACAGAAAACCATGGATTGCCAGCTGGCCAGCTTTAGAGCATCCTCTAAAAGCAGTCTCAGGTAAGCAGAGCTCACCGGAGATGGTCTGCTGTATTGTTGAGAGTAACAATGTAGAAAATCACATTGGAGCGAGTATTGTGCTGAATGCTATTTATGGCTGCAATGGCCCCCCCAAGCCTGTCTTCAGATGCAGCGATGACCACAGGAATCTCTTCTTCTCTCCCATCTATTGCATGCCGGAGAGCACTTGGGACAAAGTCTATAGGTTGAAGCCCCACAATTCCTGAATCTGAAAAGAACACAAGGAAGGCAGTGTGATACAATCTCTGGTTGATAGAATCCAACACATGGAAAAAGGGAAGGTAAGGATTATGATAATGATTTACTTCATTCTCCCCCATTAAACTGTGAAGCATATAGCCCTGAAACTCCCTATATGTAAACAAGCTTTTGGAAAAGTGGAGGAAGCATTTTTTAAAATAGGCTGACAGCACTTTGATACCTACTGGTAGGAAAATAACAGGACCTGTTAGAATGTATTGTGGCAATTTGTATGAAGAATTTCCTAAGGACAAAATCTGAACCATAATTGAAAGAATTTTACTTAAATTGTGAAAACTTAGCAGCAAACTAAATCAGTGTTTCTTAAGTCACAAATCATAAGTAAGCATGAAACCAATTGAGTCACAACCAATTTATATAGAAAAAGTTTCTGGATTGCAATAAAAAACTGAAGTAGAGGCCAGGGGCGGTGGCTCATGCCTGTAATCTAAACACTTCAGGAGGCTGAGGTGGGTGGATCACTTGAGGTTAGGAGTTCAAGACTAGCCTGACCAACATGGTGAAACCCTATCTGTACTAAAAATACACAATTAGCCAGGTGTGGTGGTGAACACCTGTAAACCCAGCTACTTTGGAGGCTGAGGCAGAAGAATTGCTTGAACCCATGAGGTAGAGGTTGCCATGAGCCAAGATCATGCCATTGTACCCCAGCCTGGGCAACAAGAGTGAAACTCTGTCTAAAAAAAAAAAAATAGAAGAAGAATTAGAATACCAAAGAAAATACACAAGGAAACTGCAAGTTCTGTCCTGTAAATATTCTGCAAGTATTGTCCTGTAAATATTCTTGCCTTTCATATATTTTTTATTCCTCAGTGAACCCTGGTATCTACCATATGCCAGGCAATATCTAGGCACTGGGATTATAGTCATGAATAAAACATCCCTAACTTCCTGAGGATAGACAGCCAATAAACAAATACACATGTATGTATGTATGCTGCATGTAATGTGTTTCCCATTGTAGGGCTGCCATCAAAAAGTCTGAAAGTTGTTGTACCAAAAGCTGTTATCCTGTGGAAACAAACTAATAGACATTAAAAATATATATGAAAAGTTTCTACCATCACAGTGAAAAGCTTATGATATACAGAAAAACATGTCATGTACAGTTTATATGTAGTACAATCTCAACTGTACAGAAAAAAGATGTGCAGGAAAAAACTGGAAGGTACTAAGCCAATATTGTAATAAATTACCTCTAGACAATGAAATCATTCATTCAACCACTATTTATTGAACAGCCAGTACTGGCCACTATCCTTAGGCACAAGAGATAAAACAGATTGCCCTCATGGAGCTTGAATGCTGTTCTCTTTTTTTCCTTTTTTTTTTTTTTTTTTTTTTTTTTTTTGAGACAGTGTCTCGCTCTGTCACCAGGCTGGAGTGCAATGACGTGACCTCAGCTCACTGCAACCTCTGCCTCCCCAGTTCAAACAATTCTCCTGCCTCCACCTCCCGAGTAGCTGGGACTACAGGTGCATGCCACCACGCCCAGCTAATTTTTGTATTTTTAGTAGAGATAGGGTTTCACCATGTTAGCCTCGATCTCCTAACCTCATGATCTGCCTGCCTCAGCCTCCCAAAGTGCTGGGATTACAGGCGTGAGCCACCGCACTCAGCCGCTGTCCTCTTCTTCATACACTTTCCAACCAGGAACATGCATTCCTTTATATCATACATGTATACACATGATAAAACATGCTATCAAGGCAGGGCACTCCGTGGAAGTCAGGGGAAAGCTATTATAGACTCACTCTGGTCAACTATGGTGGGTGGCAATCCAAAAATGATTTTTGACAAACAGGCCTCAAACATCTCTCAATACCAAGGGAGAACAGTATGAACAACTAATTCAGTTTACTGTGCAATGTATTATACAACAAAGTGATTTTCAAAGATCACTTGACAAACTTTTTTTACTACAGTCCCACTGATGAGCTGCACGAGTTGAAGGACAATAATTAGACTGACACTCTAGTAACTACAGCAGGCATCAAACACCAAGGACACTTGCCTGCCCTCACTTTCTGAAGCCCTGTCCTGCTGAAATGTAAACAGATGGCAGCCCTCAGAGGCTCTTCTAAGGCCTCTGATTTGGTGAAAAGGAATATTCTGTCAGACCAAACCCTTAACAAACAACTGCTAGTACTATTAAAAGAAGAAGAACTTAGGATGTATGACACAGAGAGTACCAGGTCCTCAAAGATTCTAAGGCATTATTAGTAAGGGTTCCCATACCTGTAATCTCATTTCTTAACAAACTGCTCAAGCCAAGCAAGTTATGGTGCAAAACCAGTAAGAAGAGAGCAACAGCCAGGACCAAGATGATGATGTTTACTGAAATAGATAGGGAAAACTGATGTTACACCTCTTTTATCTTTGACCAGGCATAAAAACTTAACTTGTAGAAAGAGCATACCTCTACGGAATGACATCTTTTTCTTCTGTTGTATAAATATTAGTTATTAACCCTACAAAACAAAAACAAGCCCCAAAGTCATTAAGTACATGAGAATAGACATCAAAATGCCCTAAAACTTTTTTTTAATTCAGTGTGGGTAGCCTCCCATATAGGCACCGAGGAATGAGAGCTAAGCAGAACCCTGGCACAGTTAGGGCTTGAGGAATATTTCACTTTATAGTGTTACTACTCAGCTATTTCCTTTTATATAATCCTTTACATAACCATATATTAGTTTATAGAAATAGGGCTTGAAGGCTCCCTTTATATAATCCTCTATATATAATCATATAATAGTTGATGAGTACCTGAAGAATATTTCTCTACATATATACCTATAATTATATCTTAGTTCATAATCAGAGGAATGCCTAGAGTGGACACAGTACACAGCATGAATTAAGGAATAAGCAGCTTCTAATCGGAGGAATGCCTAGAGCAGACACAGTGCAGAGCATGATTTAAGGGAAAAACAATTATACCAGGACAAGAATCCATGGCCCAGGTGGCAGTGTTCAGTATCGTAAAGATACCTGCTGTATGGCAGGCTTGAGGCGAGAGCCACTCCTCCTGATAAAGGAGTTGTAGGACCTTGCTCCAGCTCTTGTGGAAGGCTGTCCTCAGACCAGCAATACACCTTCATGTCTGTGAACTTTATCAGCTCTTGCTACTGTGCTGCTCAACAATCATCTTCCCATAGAACCCACTGGAAGCTGCCAGAAGGTGGCGGTAACCTTGACAGCTCTGTCACTGCTATGTGACTTAAAGCATCCTCCTATAAATCTTTTTAGAAGTAGTTTTCCCAGAGATAGAAGTATTGCACACTGCACCCTCTTCACTTCGCACGGCCCACATTCAAGCCTTGGTGACCTAATAGGAGTGGACCCCTTACTGCACACGGCCCCTGCCTTCATGGGAACGGGCCCCTTGCTGTGCACTGTCCACCTCCTGGCCTAGGTGACCTAATGGGGGAGGACCCTATGTTTTATTGCTCATGACCCTATCACTGTCCTTAAAGATGATTTCACTCACTGCCCTGCCCCATAACCTATACACAATAAATACTCATGCTTCTGGACATTCGGGGCCTCGCCTGACTCCGCTTGTAGGCTGCATTTTCTTTGTACTTCTGTGTCCTATCTCTTTATTTCTCAGATCCTGCGCCTCAGCACAGCATAAGGCTCACCCCACAACCCTGTGGGGCACTCAGCCTTACATCTGGCTCCCAAAGTGCCCTATAATTCAGGATCTGAAATTTTTTTTTTTTTTTTTTTTTTTTTTTGAGACGGAGTTTCGCTCTTGTTACCCAGGCTGGAGTGCAATGGTGCGATCTCGGCTCACCGCAACCTCCGCCTCCTGCCTCCTGGGTTCAGGCAATTCTCCTGCCTCAGCCTCCTGAGTAGCTGGAATTACAGGCACGTGCCACCATGCCCAGCTAATTTTTTGTATTTTTAGTAGAGACGGGGTTTCACCATGTTGACCAGGATGGTCTCGATCTCTTGACCTCGTGATCCACCCGCCTCGGCCTCCCAAAGTGCTGGGATTACAGGCTTGAGCCACCGCGCCCGGCCCCAGGATCTGAAATTTTTATGGTAGTCATAATAAAAAACTTAAAAATAATTTGGAGAAATACATAACCTTAGCCTTATACATTATACATCACAAAATGAAAAGCAAAAGAAACATTTAAGAATTAAGTTTCTACTTAAAATTCCTAGTTAAATTAGACATGGATTCAGCTTGTCTATGACCAAGTAACCTGAGGTCTTAGCTTTATTAGTAAAAACATCCCTGTTCAGAGTTGTATCCCATTCACCTTTTAACCTTTTAACATGAGTGTCCCCAAAGAAAAGAACATTATCCAAATTCACTTGACAAACCCACAGCACAGAAAAAGTTAGAAAAATTCACAAAATCCAATTGCTATCAAAGTTTGGAGTGCATTCTAGGCCACTGTAACTAGCAAAAAAAAAAAAAAAAAAAAAATTTATTGCCAGGCACAGTGGCTCATGCCTGTAATCCCAGCACTTTGGGAAGCCGAGGCAGGTGGATCACCTGAGGTTGGGAGTTCAAGACTAGCCTGACCAACATGAAGAAACCCCATCTGTACAAATACAAAATTAGCTGGGCATGGTGGTGCATGCCTGTAGTCCCAGCTACTCGGGAGGCTGAGGCAGAAGAATCACTTGAACCTGGGAGGCAGAGGTTGCAGTGAGCCGAGACCATGCCATTGCACCCCAACCTGGGCAAGAAGAGCGAAACTCTGTCTCAAAAAAAAAGTTTATTTTATTATTTTACTTTTTGAAGTGGAGTCTTATTCTGTCACCCAGGCTGGAGTGCAGTGGTGCGATCTCAGCTCACTGCAACCTCTGCCTCCCGAGTTCAAGCAATTCTGCCTCAGCCTCCCGAGTGGCTGGGATTACAGGCGTGTACCACCACACCCAGCTAATTTTTGTATTTTTAGTAGAATGGAGGTTTCACCATGTTGGCCAGGCTGGTCTCCAACTGTTGACCTCATGATCTGCCCACCTCAGCCTCCCAAAGTGCTGAGATTACAGGCATAAACTACTGCATTCAGCCAAAAAAAAAAAAACATTGAGTGCTATTCTCAAAAACCATCTCTGTTAGATAGCTACTCATCTCTTAAGAAAGTGGTGTCTAGTTGTCACTCTGTCCCGGTTAGTCCTCAGCTTATCTGACTTTCCACTTTTTCTTTTTTTGTTGTTGTTCTTTTTTTTTTTTTTTTTTTTTTTTTTGAGACGGAGTTTTGCTCTTATTAACCAGACTGGAGTGCAATGGCGTGATCTCGGCTCACCGCAAACTCCGCTTCCTGGGTTCAGGCAATTCTCCTGCCTCAGCCTTCTGAGTAGCTGGGATTACAGGCACGTGCCACCATGCCCAGCTAATTTTTTGTATTTTTAGTAGAGACGGGGTTTCACCATGTTGACCAGGATGGTCTCGATCTCTTGACCTCGTGATCCACCCGCCTCGGCCTCCCAAAGTGCTGGGATTACAGGCTTGAGCCACCGCGCCCGGCCCCAGGATCTGAAATTTTTATGGTAGTCATAATAAAAAACTTAAAAATAATTTGGAGAAATACATAACCTTAGCCTTATACATTATACATCACAAAATGAAAAGCAAAAGAAACATTTAAGAATTAAGTTTCTACTTAAAATTCCTAGTTAAATTAGACATGGATTCAGCTTGTCTATGACCAAGTAACCTGAGGTCTTAGCTTTATTAGTAAAAACATCCCTGTTCAGAGTTGTATCCCATTCACCTTTTAACCTTTTAACATGAGTGTCCCCAAAGAAAAGAACATTATCCAAATTCACTTGACAAACCCACAGCACAGAAAAAGTTAGAAAAATTCACAAAATCCAATTGCTATCAAAGTTTGGAGTGCATTCTAGGCCACTGTAACTAGCAAAAAAAAAAAAAAAAAAAAAAAATTTATTGCCAGGCACAGTGGCTCATGCCTGTAATCCCAGCACTTTGGGAAGCCGAGGCAGGTGGATCACCTGAGGTTGGGAGTTCAAGACTAGCCTGACCAACACGAAGAAACCCCATCTGTACAAATACAAAATTAGCTGGGCATGGTGGTGCATGCCTGTAGTCCCAGCTACTCGGGAGGCTGAGGCAGAAGAATCACCATGTTGACCAGGATGGTCTCGATCTCTTGACCTCGTGATCCACCTGCCTCAGCCTCCCAAAGTGCTGGGATTATAGGCTTGAGCCACCGCACCCGGCCTGACTTTCCACTTTTTCAAAACAAATAATTCAGTGGAAACAAGACAGTAGGTAGAACTTAATTAATTAATTAATTAATTAATTTTGAGATGGAGTTTCACTCTTGTTACCCAGGCTGGAAATAATTCAGTGGAAACAAGACAGTAGGTAGAACTTAATTAATTAATTAATTAATTAATTTTGAGATGGAGTTTCACTCTTGTTACCCAGGCTGGAGTGCAATGGAGTGATCTCGGCTCACCGCAACCTCCGCCTCCTGGGTTCAAGCAATTCTCCTGCCTCAGCCTCCTGAGTAGCTGGGATTACAAGCACGCGCCACCATGCCCAGCTAATTTTTTGTATTTTTGGTAGAGACAGGGTTTCACCATGTTGACCAGGATGGTCTCGATCTCTTGACCTCATGATCCGCCCACCTCGGCCTCCCAAAGTGCTGGGATTACAGGCTTGAGCCACCGGGCCCAGCCAGAACTAAATTTATTAAACAATTAAATCCCTTCAACACTTTCTGGGTAAAATGTTTCCTTAAAGACATTTTATGCAACCAAGATACTGTGAACCTATGTTTTAACCCTTTCTTACTGCGTCTTCACCCACAGTAGTACCCAACACTTACGTAAGACTATTAATTTTACAAAGCATTTTCAAACATAGCGTATTTCAAAGAAAGTTAGTTCATTTGCTTTTTTAGACAGGGTCTCACTATATTGCCCAGGCTAGCCTCTAACTCCTGGGCTCAAGCAAGCCTCCTGCCTCAGCCTCCCAAGTAACAGAGACTACAGACAAAGTAAGTTTGAATTAACTTCATCCTAGGTAAATTGTGTGCATATCAGGCACTTGATTTCTCAAGGCCTTTGTAAAGAAGGAAAATATATTGAAGAGCTGTTTAAAAAATTGGGGGCTGGGCACTGTGTCTCATGCCTGTAATCCCAAAACAAAAACAACAAGGCCAAGTCGGGCAGGAGGAGTTCAAGGACAGCCTGGGCAACATTGTGAAACCCCATCTTTACAAAAAACACAAAAATAGTCCCAGGTATTTGGGATGCTAAGACAGGAAGAACACCTGAGCACAGGAGGTCAAGGCTACAGTAAGATATGTTCATGCCACAGCACTCCAGCCTGGGTGACAAAGCAATACCGTCTCAAAAAAATAAAAAACAGTAAAAACTGGGGATCAGCCAGCTGATGCCTACAATCCCAGCTACTCAGGTGGCTGGGGCAGGAAACTGCCTGAGCCCAGGAGTTTGAGACCAGCCTAGGCAATATAGTGTGACCCCTCCTGCCCCTCACCCCATGTCTAAAAAATTTTTTTTTTAAACCGAGATCACAGGACAGATTACAAATATGGGGGAAAATACATATCTTCTTTTTTTTTTTTTTGAGCTTTTTGTTTTTGAGACAGAGTCTCGCTCTGTCACCCAGGCTGGAGTGCAGTGGCGCCATCTCAGCTCACTGCAACACCGCAACCTCTGCTTCCTGGATTCAAGTGATTCTCGTTCCTCAGCCTCCTAAGTAGCTGGGACTACAGGTGTGCACCACCATGCTCGGCTAATTTTAGTAAAGACAGGGTTTCACCATGTTGGCCAGGCTGGTCTCAAACTCCTGATCTCAAGTGATCCACCTGCCTCGGCCTTCCAAAGTGCTCGAATTACAGGCATGAGCCAGCAGGCCCGGCCCACAATCTTTCAAAAGCAGTATATATGAAGTACAATGTATCAGTGAACTTCCTCTCTCAAGAATACACATTAGTATATACCCTAAGTCAGGCGTACCCAAACTTTTTACACAGGGGGCCAGTTCACTGTCCCTCAGACCGTTGGAGGGCCACCACATACTGTGCTCCTCTCACTGACCACCAATGAAAGAGGTGCCCCTTCCTGAAGTGCGGCGGGGGGCCGGATAAATGGCCTCAGGGGGCTGCATGCGGCCCGCGGGCCGTAGTTTTGGGACACCTGCCCTAAGTCATGTGCCTCTGTCACATTATGGGCTGACCTTATCTACAGCAGCCAGCAGAAAGGGAGTTTTTCGGACAAAGCCCCAACATCTGCCTGTGATGAGGCAACTTCTACCACCACCGAGAAAACAATCTTGGACTCAAATAGATCCCAGTTAATGAATGGTACAAGAGACAATGTTTTTAGTTTGTTGACTTCCAGGTAACATTTATGGGATCAAGAGGCACACGTGAGACATCAGTTGGGTGGAAACAAGAAAACCACAATTCTATCAAGTATCTGACATATTTAAGTAGACTGGCAAAGCAGAAACCACTTGCTCCTAAAAATTCCAGTTACCTATGTGCAAAATGCCAATTATCATGGAGTATGTCTAATCCATATTGTCTTTCCTGGGGCTATTCCTGGTTAGAGAGCTTTCCTGATCTGGTTAGAAGGAATTATCAAAACAAAATTGCACATAGACCCCGGATCTGTAATAGTAACTACATTTTCGTAAGAGTACATTTGTGTACAATTTGATTAGCAAGAGTTGGTCCTCAGTATCGGTCGGGGATTGGCTCCAGGACTCCCCTTGTATATGAAACTCCATGGATGTGGCCAGGCGTCGTGGCTCACGCCTGTAATCCCAGCACTTTGGGAGGCCGAGGCAGGTGGATCACCTGAGGTCAGGAGTTTGAGACCAGCCTGACCAACATGGAGAAACCCCATCTCTACTAAAAATGCAAAATTAGCTGGGCATGGTGGCATGCGCATGTAATCCCAGCTACTCAGGAGGTTGAGAGAGAAGACTCACTTGAACCCAGGAGGTGGAGGTTGCAGTGAGTCGAGACCATGCCATTGCACTCCAGCCTGGGCAACAAGAGTGAAAACTCCATCTCAACAACAACAAAAGAAAATCCACAGATGTTCAAGTCCCTGTGTAAAATGATGTATTACAGTCAGCCCTCTGTATCCCTGAATTTCAATCTGTAGTTGGTTGAACCCAAGGATACAAAACCGTGGATACAAAGGGCTAACTGTATTCAATCGTTCACTATAAAAATGAATTATTTCTTTTGTTCAGAAGAACACACACAAAAATTCTCACACACTCACAAAAAATTAAACACAGGCACACATGCACCAAGGTCAGGCATATGCAGAAATATGAAAGAAACCTTCGAGGAAAACAACACCTTAACTTGCTAGCTAGCAGCATTTATACCTATGTTCTCAAAACTTGTGCCCACCTTTTCTGTTTCCCTCCTGTTACTATGGGTCAAATACTTCCATGAAAAGGCATTACACTGGTGCTTTGAATACTGTAATTGTTTCCTCATGTAGCATCAACCTCCCTTGCTCTCTACTGGATCATACCTATCAGCATGCAATCATGCTCTGGTATCTTCCAGTTAATTAAAAAAAAAAAAAAAAATACCATCCCTCCCACCCCACGAGGCCAACCCATAGACCCATTTCTCTGCTCCCCTTCACTCTAAAAGCTTGGAAGAATGTACAGTTTCTAGCTCCACTTCCTTTCCTCTCTTTAGCCTCCTCCAACCAGACTGCTGTTCCTACATTCAAACTGCTCTTGTGGAGGTCACCAAAGACCAAGGTCAACTTTCTGTCCTCCCTCAGAAACCATCAGGAACCTCTCAGAAAACATCAGGGAAGTTCACCATACTCCTCATCCTCAATGACAAAATTATCTCATTTGTTTACTTCTGTCTTTCCTGGCTAGAATGCAAGCTCTACAAAGCTTGCATTTGGGGCCCCCTAAATAGGGATTCCAACGAAAAAAAAATTTTTTCTTTAAGATGTAGTCTTGCTGTGTCGCCCAGCCTGGAGTGCAGTGGTAAAATCTTGGCTCACTGCAACCTCTGCCTCCTGGGTTCAAGCAATTCCTGTCCTTCAGCCTCCTGAGTAGCTGAGATCACAGATGCATGCCCACATGCCTGGCTAATTTTAGTATTTTTAGTAGGGACAGAGTTTTGCCATGATGGCCAGGCTGGTCTTGAACTCCTGGTCCAGGCTGGTCTCAGGTGATCCGCTCGCCTCGACCTCCCAAAGTTCTGGGATTACAGGCATGAGCCACTGCGCTGGCCCCCTTTACATCTCAAATACCATAAAGTCTCTACAGCAACTGCTGTCACATGAAGTGCATTTTAAGACAGACCACAGTGGGCCACATGTGGTGGTTCACGCCTGTAATCTCAGCACTTTGGGAGGCTGAAGCAGGTGGATCACGAGGTCAGGCTTTTGAGACCACCCTGGCCAACATGGTGAAACCCCATCTCTACTAAAAACACAAAAAATTAGCCAGGCGTGGTGGGTGCCTGTAATCCCAGCTACTTGAGAGGCTGAGGCAGGAGAATCACTTCAACCTGGTAGGTGGAGGTTGCAGTGAGCCGAGATTGTGCCACTGCACTCCAGCCTTGGTGACAGTGCAATACTCCATCTAAAACAAAACAAAACAAAACCACAGTGGTTGGACACAGTGGATCACGCCTGTAATCTCAACACTTTGGGAAGCCAAGGTGGATGGATCACTTGAGATCAGGCATTTGAGACTAGTCTGGCCAACACAGTGAAAATCCGTCTCTACTAAAAATACAAAAATCAGCCGGGGGTGGTGGCGCATGCCTGTAATCCCAGCTACTCAGGAGGCTGAGGCAGGAAAATCGCTAGAAGCCAGGAGGCAGAGGTTGCAGAGATTGCACCACTGCACTCCAGCCTGAGCGACAGAAAGTCAGTCTCCAAAAAAAAAAAAAAAAAAAAAAAAAAAAAAAAAAACCACACACACACACAGATATATTTATTTATATACACAACAGAAAGTCTGTTCAAACACACTAAGAAATACAGAGCATGAGAAGGAAACAGGAATAAATTCTTACCCATCCCTCTTTCTGCCTTCTACATGTCCTGGCTCCTTCTGAGGTCAGAAAAGTGTCAAAGGTGTCTGCATTTTAGCGTTTATAGGAATATGGATTTTTTTGTTTGTTAACTGCTTGGCCTAGCCAAGTGCAACGATGAAAGGGCACTGAGATATACAAACACTTTCATCTGGCTAGCTCCCACTTGGCTTTCAGAAATCAAGGTAGCCTCCTCCAAACTCCAGGTAGAGCTGCACCTCCCCTGAGCTCCCACATCTGGGCCTCCCTCTCCCAGGGCTAATCCAGCTGTCATGTATTTCTGGCGTGATGTGGCTGTCTTCCTTGACACACTCTGGGCTCTTCTAAGGCAACAGCCTGGTCTTGTTAACAACTGTGTCCTCGGTGTGCTGTCTGGCACAAACAAGGTGCTGTGAATATTTGCTGGTTGCATGAATGAGGACAGTCCCACCCTGTCCCGGGAGTGCCTAGAATCTCACTGTCTGTGGCTAACCCTGAATACACAGCATGGAGGCCGGAGAGCCAGCTGGGACCCAGAGGCCCGGGTTCCTCAGATCGGTTTCTCTCCAAAACGTGGTCATTCCACCTGGCTCACGGTAACGGTGGAGGCTCTACGATTTACAGACAAACCAGCCTCGATAGAGGCTGAGTGAACCTTTGGCTGGCCTCCATCGGGAGGGCGCAGCCTGGGTCTGTGAGGGTCAGTAGAGCCGGCCAGAGCGTGAAAGGGCCGAGTGCGGGAGCCCCCGGACGAGGGACCCTCCACGCGGATGAGAGGGACAGCCGAGGACCGGGGTCCTCTCTCCAAGGAAATTCTCTTGTGGATGCCGCCTAGGGTAGCCCCCCTAAATTCCAAGGGTCAGGAGGGGCCCCCTTACACTTAGAAGTGATCGGGAAGTGATGTGACGCTCCGGGGATCCCGCCAGGCTCAGAGGTACCCTGGGTTAGGGCTCCGACCAGTCGATCCCCTCAGAGGCTCGCCGCAGGTGCTCTCTCGGCAGGCGGAGGAGGAGACGCGGATGCAGCACGCTCCCCGGCCCGCCCTGCCAGCTCAGCGCCCGCGCCGCAGGTCCTGGGGCGCAGCCCGTTGTCTGGCCGCCCGTGGCCCCTACACACTGGGCCGAGCCCACGTGCCCTCTAGCTCCGTGGCAGCCGCGCAGCCCTGCAACGTCCAGCCAGCACGTTCTGTGACCGCCACACCGTCGCGCCAAGCAGGCGCCGCGGGGCAGCCCCGCCGCCGGGGGTCCTCACAGAGAAAAGGCCGTCGCCATGGAGACGTGGCGCGCGCCGGCAGCCGTTGGGCTGCTCAGGCACTGTTGAGGACAGTTTTCGGTACTGGGGCCTCGGCTCCAGGCACCCAACAGCACTGACAGCGTACCCTTCACGGGCGCTCAATGCCTCGATGCGGCCGCTGCCGCCACCACCTCAGCTTGCCTCGCGGGCAGCACGCCGCGGCAAAACCTCACATCGCCTAGCGATGGCGCGGGGCGGGGACACGGACTGTGCCTGCCCGTCGGAGACTTCCGCTTCCGGGGCCGCGGCCATAGCTCTCCCGGGCTTCGAAGGCTCACCTGGCGACGTGCAGTGTCACACCTTGGTCCTCAGGGCCCCAAAATCTCGATCTCCCTCGCCTCGCAGCCTGCCACCTTCGCTTGGCTGCCCGCCTCCTCAGCCAGCCATGCTGGAGCATCTGAGCTCGCTGCCCACGCAGATGGTGAGGGCGCAGCCTGGGGACCTCCGCACGCCGCTCTTGTGCCTGGCAGCTTCGAAGCCCATGTCCGAGCACCGACCCGATGCTGCGCTGTTCTGGGCCCAGATGGGTACCGTCCACCCTCTTTCCCGACTTGCTTCCTTGGTCCCCTTCTCCTCCGCGAGGATCTCCCTGTCCATTCTCCGTGAGGGTGTTTCACTTCCTCCCGGGAAACCCAGAATTTAATTCCTTGCCCAGGTCCTTAGGAGAGCGGGAGCCCCTGACATTGGGGTTACCCTGGGCCAAAGTTGTGAGGTCAGGGCAGAAATTTTATCTCCTCGGCGGTGGAACCAACTCTTTTTTTCGTCTGCTTCTCCCCAGGATTACAAGGGCCAGAAGCTAGCTGAACAGATGTTTCAAGGAATTATTCTTTTTTCTGCAGTAAGTATTGGTTTCACATTTAACCCCCGCCCCCACCGACCCCCTTCAACCCTCAGTTTGAGTGTGTTTAATATACTTCATTTACCTCTAGATAGTTGGATTTATCTACGGGTACGTGGCTGAACAGTTCGGGTGGACTGTCTATATAGTTATGGCCGGATTTGCTTTTTCATGTTTGGTAAGAAATTTGTGGGTGTGTGGGTGTTAGTGGGAATTGGGTTTTGTGAGTCGGGTTGATTTGGTTACACCTCAGTAGTGAGACCCAAACCCAATGTTTCCCTTTGCTATCACTGGAAGAATAGAATGTCAAAATAGTGTCAGATGGTATGAACTATGTAAAAGGGCACAGCTTATTTCCTTTGGCAGCTACTCTGGGTAATAATCTTACGGTAAAAGCTAACTGGAGTTTTTCATGGTGCTTACATTTTCCCCTCACCTTTCTTCTTATTTTTATTTTTATTTTTTTTGTGTGTGTATATGTGTGAGACGGAGTCTTGCTCTGTCACCAGGCTGGAGTGCAGTGGCGCGATCTCGGCTCACTGCAACCTCCGCCTCCTAGGTTCAAGCGATTCTTCCACCTCAGCCTCCCGAGTAGCAGGGACCACAGGCGCGTGCCACCACTCCAGGCTAATTTTTGTATTTTTAATAGAGACGGGGTTTCACCATGTTGGCCAGGATGGTCTCGGTTTCTTGACCTCATGATCCGCCCACCTCGGCCCCACAAAGTGCTGGGATTACGGGCCTAAACCACCGGGCCTGGCCTCTTTCTTTAAAATTTTTTGAGGCGGGGTTTAACTCTGCCGCTCACGCTGCAGTGCACTGGGGCGATCTCGGCTCACGGCATTCTCCGCCTCGTGGGTTTAAGCGATTCTTCTGCCTCAGCCTCCCGAGTAGCTGGGACTGCAAGCGCACACCACCATACCCATCTAATTTTTGTATTTTTAGTAGAGACAGGGTTTCACCATGTTGGCCAGGCTGGTCTCAAGCGATCCATCCACCCGGGCCTCCTAAAGTGCTGAGATTACAGGCGTGAGCCACCATGCCCGGCCCCTTACCTTTCTCTCTTAGGTCTTAAAAGCCACTTGTGTAGGCAGTGAGCCTGTTCCCATCATCTTATAGGATCTTGCATGAGTGGTGGCGCAGAGCCTTTATAGGAATATGGATTTTTGTTGTTGTTGTTCCCTCAGCGCAGGAGTGGTTTGGGAACCAGGCATTATATATACATAATGATTTTTTAAAAACTTTTAATAGCTGTAATTGATGCATTTTCTCTTTTCTGGCCCAGCTGACACTTCCTCCATGGCCCATCTATCGCCGACATCCTCTCAAGTGGTTACCTGTTCAAGACTCCAGCACAGAAGACAAGAAACCAGGCGAAAGAAAAATTAAGAGGCATGCTAAAAATAATTGAGGTTTTCATGATTCAGCACCTGGCTTTTGTTTCCTGTGAGATGAGCTAAATTGCTTTCATACCCCAAATATGAGCTAAAACCACCTAATGCTCTTATGGCGCAGCTGTGTATAGATTTAGTTCTCTCTCTCTTTCATTTCTAGCCCAGTTGGGTTTTGATTTATGTAAGTAGTTTTGATCTTCTCTTCTTAATCTTGCTCTGAAATGAGGAAGAGAACCCACGTCTGCAATTTCAGGTGTAAATAATGAAGAATAAATGCCTCATCAATGATAATACAATGTAACTATCAAAGTTTTATAATTCATTAGGAGTTGTTAAACCATTTTAATGTTTCCAATTAAAACTCATAGTGCAAGTTCTTTGTCTAAAGGGTCTATTGTTCATTATTCTGCAAGGAAGATAATTAGTAAAAGCCGAAGTTAGAAGTTCATGGTTCTGGCCAGGTGCAGTGTAATCTCAGCACTTTAGGAGGCTAAAGCAGGAGGATGACTTGAGTCCAGGAATTTGAGATAGTTCATGGTATATAATTAATAGTGTTGCAGGCCTGCACTTTGGGAGGCCAAGGTGGGTCAATCACCAGTCAGGAGTTTGAGACCAGCCTGGTCAACATGGTGAAACCCCGTCTTTACTAAAAATACAAAAATTAGCCAGGTGTAGTGGTGCATGCTTATAATCCCAGCTACTTGGGAGGCTGAGGGAGGAAAACTGCTTGAACCTGGGAGGCAGAGGCTGCAGTGAGCCAAGATCGCACCACTACACTCCAGCCTGGGCAACAATGAGACTGTTTCAAAAAAAAAAAAAAAAAATTACTGACATTTTAGAACTAATGTCAAAAGAGTATCACATCAGAGTCTCTGAACTGTGGCCAAAGGTATAGTCAGAAGAAAATCCATAGTCTTAAGGATGTGTTTTAAAATTAATTTAGCGAGATAAATTAAGCATTCAAGTAAAAACCACAAAACAAAAGTGGGAAAACACAGTGCTTAAACAAAAATGTACAGCATGGGAATAAAAGTATGGGAGAAGTCAGGTGTGGTAGTTCACGCCTATAATCCTAGCACTTTGGGAGGCCGCGGTGGGAGGATGCTTGAACCCAGTTTGAGACCAGCTTGGGCAACCCAGTGAGAGTTCCTCTCCACACAAAAAAATTTTCTTTAATTAGCTAGGTGTGGCGGTGCATGCCTGTGGTCCTAGCTATTTGAGGGCTGAGGTGAGAGGATCACTTCAGCCCAGGAGGTCAAGGCTACAGTGAGCTATGATCACCCCACTGCACTCCAGGCTGGGTGACAGAGCAAGACCCTGTCAAAAAAAACATATATATTGAGATTCCTATAATTCTAAAAAAGTATCTATTTTATACCAACACATTAGAAAAATTAATAAAACTGATGACTGTCCAGAAAGAAGTGGATTTCCAAAACATGCAAGGAAAGGCGAGTAGCTCAAGGATACCAAGTTTGCCAAAGATTTGCTCCCAACTGGGCATTGGGACTTGATGGTTTTGCAAGTTGAGTTCTAGCAAACCCTTCAAAGTGAAAATAAGAGTTATCAGAAACCAGGCTGTGAGCACTGTAAAAGGGCAGGAAGTATCTTTATTCCCCACTATATTCCCAGCTCCTGGCAGATAACCTGGGACATAATAAACGCGACATAAAAATGTGTTAAGTGACTTTAAAGGGAACATTTTATTAGAGTATTTGTGTGTGTGTGTGTGTGTATAATTTTCAAAGAAAGATACGTTTTTAGTTACAGAAACTGAAAACAGGGCTGGACACAGTGGCTCATGCCTATAACCCAGCACTTTGGGAGGCTGAGGTGAGTGGATCACTTGAGCCCAGGAGTTTGAGACCAACCTGGGCAACATGGTGAAACCCCGTCTACAAAAAATACAAAATTTAGGTGTCGTGGCACATGCCTATGGTTCCAGTTACTAGGGAGGCTGAGGCAGGAGTATCATTTGAGCCCAGGAGGCGGAGGTTGCAGTGAGTCAAGATCATGCTACTGCACGCCAACCTGAGTGACAGAGTGAAACACTCAAAAAAAAAAAAAAAAAAAAAAAAAGGTTGGGCGCGGCGGCTCACGCCTGTAATCCCAGCATTTTGGGAGGCCGAGGCGGGTGGATGACGAGGTCAAGAGATCGAAGACCATCCCGGTCAACATGGTGAAACCCCGTCTCTACTAAAAATACAAAAAATTAGCTGGGCATGATGGCACGTGCCTGTAATCCCAGCTACTCAGGAGGCTGAGGCAGGAGAATTGCTTGAACCCAGGAGGTGGAGGTTGCGGTGAGCTGAGATCACACCATTGCACTCCAGCCTGGGTAACAAAAGCGAAACTCCGTCTCAAAAAAAAAAAAAAAAAAAAAAAGCATCTGAAAACATTTCTGGAGCAATATTTTTTTACTTTATTAAAATACTGAGATTTCACATGTATATTTTTGTCTCCCCACCATTTCCATGTCTGACCACCAGTACTACTATGTCCTATCATAACATTCCATACATACTTAAAACCAAGCAAAGGGTGGAGGTCCCATCTGTAAAAACTACAGGCATTTTGGACAACACATTCTTGGTAATGGAATCTGGACATTTATCAAACACGGTAGGGAAAATTCTCACTCTGCATTATAAAAAGGACAACCAGATATCAACTGTTACAGAAATGAAATAAGATGGAAAATTTTTAACAAATTGTTTAAACTATTAAAGAGACTTCCTCCACTGCCAGAGATCTTGAATAGCCTCCTGGTCAGTCATCCAGAAGCAATTCTTCACATAATTGATAAACTTGGCTTCCACTTTGGGAAGAGAACCACCATTTTCTATACTTGCTTGCATTTTTGCTTTAATGTCTTCTACAGAACTAGGTCCTTTTGGTGTTTTAGGAGTTTTTTTCCTGTTTTTTGAAGGATTCTTGTCCTTTTGATCTTGGTGTTGATGATGGTTTTGAGTCGTTTTCATTCTGATTTGACTTTTGTGCATTTTTGGCTGGAGTATTGCATATAGATTTCTTCACTGGCACTTTTTCTTCAGTTTCCTCATCATCAAAATCATCATCATCATCTTCATCAGCAGCAAGTTTTACTTTTTTTTGTGGAACCTTGCTACCACCTCCAGGGGCAGACCGCTTTCCAGACATACTTAAGAGTTTCACATCTTCCTCCACAGCTACTAAGTGCTGTCCACTGATGTGCCTGGCCCTGAAGCATACTTCAATCGTAAGACCACTGGTGGTGGTATTTCAAAGCCCCCAAGGGAACCTGTTGGCCGTACAGACATTTTCTAAGTTGCCAGTGTTACTTTAATTGGACTGCCTTTGTAATTCATTGCCTCTGCTTCAACAATGTGCAACTCATCCTTTGCACTAGCTCCTACACTGACCGTTCTTAAAGATAATTGGTGCTCATTTTCATCATTATCCACCTTAAAGTGATCATCTTTGTCGGACTTTAGTTCACAACCAAAAAGATAGTTCTGGGTCCTCAGGGGGCTCATGTCCATGTCCATCGAATCTTCCATCGGGTGGTGACACGCACTTAGGTGGAAAAGAAGGTGGACGGAGATAAACGACTACTGCTCAAAAGAACAGCCGCTCAGGACGGACTCACACCAGGGGCAATATTTATTTTTAGTATCCCTTGAATGTACTATTCAAGACTTGTATTTAACTATAAAATTCCTTTCCTAGATGGGTAGTACCTCTTATTAAACAACTAATATGTGATATATAATCATACATTTAAAACATGGAAAGACAGTATCTTAAAGCAGATGAAGACAAACTTCAGAGACAAGCATTAAATATATCCAAAAACTAAGTGGACCTGGACTTTGCTTACATATTGCTTAAATGGAAATGAAATTTGTGTTTAAGAAATGTTTTTTCACTGATGGAAAAATAAATCTAACAAAACCATTATGTAAAAACATACTGATTTACAAAGCCAATGTGTCTCAGTTTTAATTTGTAGATACTGTAAATGAGGTTTACATTAAATGAAAATAATTTTTTTTTTTTTTTTTTTTTTTTTTGAGATGGAGTTTCGCTCTCGTTACCCAGGCTGGAGTGCAATGGCGCGATCTCGGCTCACCACAACCTCCGCCTCCTGGGTTCAGGCAATTCTCCTGCCTCAGCCTCCTGAGTAGCTGGGATTACAGGCACGCGCCACCACGCCCAGCTAATTTTTTGTATTTTTAGTAGAGACGGGGTTTCACCATGTTGACCAGGATGGTCTCGATCTCTTGACCTCGTGATCCACCCGCCTCGGCCTCCCAAAGTGCTGGGATTACAGGCTTGAGCCACCGCGCCCGGCTGAAAATAAAATATTAAAAGTCCATCAATGTGAAGAAAAGAAATTCAGTTGCTCAGGTACTAGCTAGAACTTCATATTCTTTAAATCTATTTCCAGAACTGTGATATGACTTTTAAAAATTTTATAATTTATCAACTACTAAGGTTATTAACAATAGCAGGTGTAATGACTGGACATAAGTAATTTGTTTCTCCTATCACTTTTATCTCTATATTACAATATAACATTTTCAATCCAGTACTTTATAGCCCTGTGTTTAAGCTAATTAGTACCTTAGAAAAATAAAATTGTAGCTATAAACTTGGTGGTTTAAGGCTCAGTAAACAGTAATCAAACAAACAACAGATGTGTCCTCATAAATAGAATATGAAAGTCAAAGGTGTTTTTTCTTTTGTGATCCTGCTTCATATTGGTCTGTTCTGTCCAATTTCTTTTCTGTAAGAAAACTCCAAAGAGATATAAAACAGTAATGAATGGCCTCCAAATAACCGTTCGCCCTTGTTTTTTAAGTTAAAAACCTCTGAAAATAGGTCTTTAATTCTGGCAGCAGATTAGGACAAATGCTCAAAAATTCATGTTTTCTTCAAAAAATTTCAACTGGCGAGCTTTCACACTGTAACTTGTATATTTTTCACCCATGTGCTCCTGCAAACGTACCTATTTGAGAAACAAATAAAATGAAAATCAGTATGTAGTAGGAAAAGATATTTCTGTAATCTTAAGAAGAAGGGCTTCTCTAAGCATGACATCAAAGGTGGAACCCATACAGGAAAATGCTAATAGTTCAGTTTACATACAAATTTTAAACTTTAAGATTTTTTTTAAAGTCCTAAGAAATTAAAAAGCGCCGGGCGCGGTGGCTCACACCTGTAATCCCAGCACTTTGGGAGGCTGAGGCAGGTGGACCACAAGGTCAAGAGATCGAGACCATCCTGGTCAACATGGTGAAACCCCGTCTCTACTAAAAATACAAAAAATTAGCTGGGCATGGTGGTGCGTGCCTGTAATCCCAGCTACTCAGGAGGCTGAGGCAGTGGCGAGCCGAGATCGCGCCATTGCACTCCAGCCTGGGTAACAAGAGCGAAACTCTGTCTCAAAAAAAAAAAAAAGAAATTAAAAAGCAAACAAACTAGGGGAAACATTTGCAACATTCATGCCAAAAGAGTAATAGCATTCATATAGAAAGAGTTATTTGAATCAATAAAACCCAACAATATTAGAATTGGTAAAATATAATCAATTTCACAGATAATTCAGCAAATTCATATATATGTATGTAAATGTAAATCCTATATATTTACAAAATAGTCATATAAATAACCACTTAGTGAAATGGGAAAAGTTCCCTTGTCCCCCATCGCAGGGCATGCAATGTGGGTGTGGCTCGCTTCTTCAGCGCCCCACTGCTCAAACCTCTAGGGGAGCAGACAGACAGGCAGGTTGTGGGGTTCGAACCCCACAGCAGTATCTCCCTAGAATGTTTATAGCTGAAGCCCGAGTGGCATGTGTTACAGGGTGCTTTTTTAGTTTAGCCATCCATAGCTGGCCTGTGTTAGCTCAATTAGACCCTTGCCTTATCGCAAGGACAAAGGGTTTTCTGTACCCAGGGTTCTTGCCTTGGTTTATTGGAAGAATTGGATTACATGTGGGCTTGGGATATGAGTGCAAGGTTTTATTGAGTGGAAGTAGCTCTCAGCAGATGGGGGAGCCGGAAGGGAGATGGTTTTCCCCTGGAATCCGGCCGCTCAGCAGGGGGTTCTCCTTCAACTGCTCTGGCCAAACTCCACCTCGTTCTGCCAGTCGAAGGATTGCTGGCATGCTGGCATCTGTCAGTGTGCTCTTCTGCTGGCATGCTCCCTTCAACATCCTCTCAATGTCCAGCTGCTGTGTCTTCTTCTGCTGATGTGTTCCTCTCGACGTCCAGCCTCTTGTGTATGTGTTCCTGCTAGGGTCTCTGCGACTTTATAGGCACAGAATGGGAGTGTGGCAGGCCAGGGTGGTCTTGGGAAATGCAACATTTGGGTGTAAAGGCAGGAGTGCCTGTTCTCATCGAGGTCTGTGGGCACAGGCCTGAGGGTGGAGCCAGAGGCCATGCCCTCCTGTACCTAGCACTTCCCTGACCCTTTTCCATACCATGAGCATACATAAAATTCAATCTGACTAGTAATAAAAAAGTACTAATGTGACAATCAATATGTGCTTATTGAAAGAACTGTTCAAAATTAAAATAACAGCTAGCATGTTAAACAGATACTATGAACCTCCTGATACAATGCACTGACCATGGTACTTGGCCAAATAGTTAGTTTTTAAAGGAATTTTCACCAGTTTCACTGAAAGTGGTGGGAGGTTTACAGAGCTTCTCGGAGCAGTGAGCCATTATCATGCCACTGCACTACAGCCTGGGCTATAGAGCAAGACTTCAACTCAAAAAAACAAACTCAAGTCTCTGGAAATGGTGCTAAGAGAATATGGCATATGAATTTTAAAATAAAAATTATAGGAGCCCACTGTTTTGGACTAAACTCCTGCACTAGTGATGGCAGCCACAAGCCATCAGGAACAGCCACTACCATCATGCTGGCAGCAGCAGGAAGGTGTGAACAGTGATGGCAGGAGCAGCTGCAGGAATAGCAGTGGCACTAATGGAACCCTGTGCCCTGTGTCCCCAAAGCAGGTAACCAGGCCATGCCCAGGGGTAGCTATGACACGCCAGCCCCCTGCGGCTTTGTCCCCCTCCAGATTTTGGGCTCCAACAAGCGCAGGATGGCAGAGGCAAGCTGAGGGGGTGAGGAGGGCAGCTTGGCATCAGCCTGCATACCCTCTCTGCTGAGGAGCTCAACACTCATCAAGATGACCAGCTGCATAGGAGACAGCCTGGCTATGGAAAGGAGCTGCCCACTATGGGTCTCCTCTGAGCTGTTCTCTCAATAAAGTTCCTCTTTGTCTTCCTTACCCTTCACTTGTCTTCGTATCTCTTCCTGGTCACAGGACAAGAACTCCGGACCGACTGATTGGTGAGGCTAAAAGAACTGTGATGTAAACATGTTAGGGGTTGAAACATGCCACCTTCTCACCATGCTGCATGTGAAGAGGAGAGAAGAGCTGTGGCCCTTCAAGGAGCCCAGACCTGGAAGCCCCCCAAGCCAAGTGATACCTCAAAGATCCCATAATACTAACCCTCTTTGGGGCCCTGTGGTTCCTGGCATCTCCAAGCTTAGCCAGTATTCCCCAGTGCCAGCAGTGGAAGCTGCCTGAGGTGCATCTGGTCTGGCTGTAGCCTCACAAAGGGCCAGTGCCCATGCCGGCACCTGGAGATGCCCACCCCGCTGCGGCAGCTGGAGTGTCTGTGCAGTGGCTGGACACCATGCTCACTCTCACACCCCTTGCTGCTCCACGCCTGACTCTCCCTTGGCAAGCATGGGATACAGGCTGGTAATATGAGCTGAATGCAATGCCAGGCCATCGGCAGAACAAGCCCAGTGGGTCTGAGCAAAACTCAGGCAAAGGGGCCATCAGCCACAGATATTTCTGGCCAGAAAAGTGACACCTCAAAGATCCCATAACACTAGGCCCAACAGTCCAGACTAAAAATCATAATGGAGTCACTCATGCTCACCAAACTGAAACTGAGCAGTCATCTGGCCTTTCAAGTAATTGAGAGACTGAAAGAGCTAACAGCCTAATTTTCCAAACAGGCCAGTTTCAACTGACATCATGTGAAGTTTCATCTGGAATAACCTGATGTTAACCAATCAATTATTTTTCTATTATTGTGTCTCTTTGTCCCCACCCTAAAATGACCAATCCACTTTTTTTCTGGAGCCACCCTATCAACTGAGACAAATCTACTTTTTGTTCTTTTTTTCTGCTTTATCCAACCCCTTTTCTGTCTATAAAGTCGATCTCCTCTGCTTCCCTCATTAAACATTTATTCTATTTTATAGAATGAAGTGTTCCCCAATGCCAGAATCACTAAAACCAATTGAGATCTTTAAACAAAATGTGTTATAATTTTGTCTTTTGACAGAAGAAACATTTATTTGAGCAAATCTAAACTTTAGTATCAGAACAGTAAGAGTCAGTGGTATGCAAATGAAGACCAACTGCTACCTTTCTCCACCCCACCTAAGTGAGGCAAAAATTCTACTCCAGGCCAGTGAAGCCAAGAACATAGGCCTTTGTTTCCCTGCAGCTTCCAGTTGAACGGCTATCTTCTTGGGAGGGCAGGACATCAGCAGATCTCATCCTGCTGCCTGCTGTTGAGGCTACATTTCAGGAGCATGCAGGCAAGAAGTGGGAGCTCCCTTCTTCCACCTAGCCCAGGGTACTAGGATGTAGGCTTTACTTTGGGTAAAGGACTGCTAAAAATTATGGGGCCCAGGCCAAGCACCGTGGCTCGTACCTATAATCCCAGCACGTTGGGAGGCTGAGGTGGGTGGATCACTTAAGGTCAGGAGTTGAAGACCAGCCTGGCCAACATGGTGAATCCTCCATTTTAATTAAATGGTACAGTGACACAATCTCAGCTCCCTGCAACCTCTGCCCCCAGGTTCAAGCAATTCTCATGCCTCAGTCTCCCAAGTAGCTGGGATTACAGGCACCCACCACCATGCCAAGCTAATTTTTGTATTTTTAGTAGAGATGGGGTTTCATCATGTTGGCCAGGCTGGTCTCAAACTCTTGACCTCAAGTTATCCACCCACCTCGGCCTCCCCAGATGCTGGGATTATAGGCATGAGCCACTGCACCTGGCCTCAATTATTTAATTTAATTATTTATTTTTAAATTCCTTGTTTTCCCATTCTTCTTTTCCTCCTTTTCCCACTTCCTAGTTAGCTCTTTAGAAATATAACTATAGGTCAGGCATGGTGTCAAGAGTATGACACCAGGTCAAGAGTACAAGTACAGCTTGGCCAACATGGTAAAATCCCGTCTCTACTAAAAATACAAAAATTAGCCAGGCATGGTGGTAAGCGCCTGTAGTGCCAGCTACTTGGGAGGCTGACAGAGATGAGTAGCTAGGACTACAGACGCACACCACCATGCCAAGAACCCAGGAGATGGAAGGTGCTGTGAGCCAAGATTACATCACTGCACTCCAGCCTGGGTGACAGAGCAAGACTCCATCTTAAAGAAAGAAAAAAAAAGGAGCATATTTTTTTTTTTTTTTTTTTTTTGAGACAGAGTTTCGCTCTTGTTAACCAGGCTGGAGCGCAATGGCACGATCTCGGCTCACCGCAACCTCTGCTTCCTGGGTTCAGGCAATTCTCCTGCCTCAGCCTCCTGAGTAGCTGGGATTACAGACACATGCCACCATGCCCAGCTAATTCTTTCTATTTTTAGTAGAGATGGGATTTCACCATGTTGACCAGGATGGTCTTGATCTCTTGACCTTGTGATCCACCCGCCTCGGCCTCCCAAAGTGCTGGGATTATAGGCTTGAGCCACCACGCCCGGCCAGAAAAAAATTTTTTAAAGAAATAATGCCTGAATACTTTACAATTTATTGAAAAACACTGATCTACACATCCAAGAAGCTAAATGAACTTCCAAGTAGAATAAACTCAAAGAGATCCACAGACACATCAGGGTTAAAGTGCTTAAAGTCAAAAACAGAAAATCTTGAAAGCAGCAAGATGAAAATAACGTTATCA